TTCTGCAATATATCTCAAGAATCTGGTGCTGACCAAAAGGAAAGGCACACAAATACATTTAAATAGTGAAGACAAATTCAGGGATAACAAATCACTTATCCTTGTGAGAACTGCGTGATTTCTTTACAAAGACCAAGAGAAGGTGCATTCCCATCACTGTGAGCACCGGGCCAGCCACTTGGCGGGAGAACCATAAAGACCCACAGTAAGCACTACATTTTTTTTTAACATTTCAGAGACCCGCTGCAATGGAAAACAAGGAGACTCAAAAACCAGGGTCGCGGGACCAGGAGCGCACGGGGCGCGGGGATGGGCGGGGGGAGGGGGACAGCCGCGCGCACAACTTGCCATCCCTCCCCATTAGGCCACGGGGCCGCGGACCTGCTGCGCGAGGAGCTGTCGCCGTAACTTCTGTCGCTCCCGGATCTCTTGTAAGCGACTATCCATGTTTTAAATCCTGTTTTTCACTACCCCGAATCTTGTTAATCGCGAATAAACCCTCGCCCAATATTTCTTCCAACTCTATGGTACACAATATTCACCCCGAGCTTCAGGAAGCGACAGCCCTTCATCATTTCTTTCCGGCCCGGCCGGAATTGGCTTGGCATGGCCCGGAAGTCCCGCCTCCTGGGCGCATGCGTATCGACGCTATCTGGCAAGAGACCCGTGGGAACCGTTCCAGCGCTGGAAGAGTTTGAAGCTCTGGTCTGCTTCTGACGCTACTTCAGATGTGTTCTGGTTTGGTTTGTCTTTTTCCTCGGATGTCAGGCTTCCTTAGATTTCCGTAGTTGTTTCTGTAGTGTTCGTTTTCTTTGCCGTTAATTGCATAGTTATTAGCCCTACGTTTAAAAAAATTGCAAACACAAACTCAAACTCGATTGCCCAGCGCTTACTAGCTGAGTAACGTTGATTTTTACCACCTCCGTGAGTCTTGCTTATCTTTTGTAAAAACAGGAACAGTAAGAGGGTCTACCTCGCATTTGGGAAAATTGAAACAATAAACACCTGGCACGTGATACCTTGGAATTGTATCCTGTGAAGCAGGTTCTGAAAGCAATTTGAAAAAGAGGTATTCCTAAAACTCTCTTTGGTAATGGCAGCACTATTTGAGAAAACGCTAACTTCTGAGGGGCATATACTGCAGGGTGTTTTTGAGCATATAAAATGTTTCTTTAAAAGTCAGTTACCGGGGCTGGGGATTTAGCTCCTGCCTGGCAGCGCCTGCCTGGCAGGTGCAAGGTCCTGAGTTTGATTCCCGGTACCGGAAAACAAACAAACAAAAAAGTCAGTTACATTACTTACCTGTCAGTTGGATTGGGACTACCGTATACTAATTTAAACTATTGGTCAAGGATGAGAATAGGTATTTGTTCACGCAAATATTTTTTGGTACTGAGTATTTTTTAAAGCGGGCACTGCGATATACCCAAGTCTATGAAGTCTACAAAAACGACTTAAGTTTTTTGTAATGGAGGTAGTCTGAAGGAGAAGTCACACACACACACACACACACACACACCACCACCACCACCACCACCAAAGTGTTGTACTTACTTGTGGTCATTGTGTAGCAGAAAACCAATATCAAACCAAATGGGACACTCCACGAAGAGCTAGAAGGCAACTTTTATTCTAGCAGGCTAGGGAACCCCATGGTTCAAATCACCAGTCCAGAGTCAGGTTTGAGATCAGTTTAAATATGGTTTGCAAGTGGGAAGTGCAAAGCCAATAGCAGGTTATTACATGATTGGTTACATGGAATATAAGAATTATGTTGTATAATGTCAGGCAGAATTGTACAGGAACATTCTAGGAGGGAGGAGGGTCTGAGAAGAGTAGGTAGAGTTGATCGTGTCCTTGACTGGGCCGTCTTCCCCAAACAAGAGGTCCTTGTAGTCCTTAAAGCAAGTTGGAATTACTGCATATTTTTAAAACGTAAGCCAGACACAGTTTGACCCCACACATTGTTAAGGAGGAACATCTGGGCCTAGACAGTCAAAGCTAAATGAGTGCAGTAAGCTAGCTACATGACAAGTAGCAGGAACCTGTGGTCACAGGCCTCTAATTGATTTTTAACTTTTGCTCTAATATGCCTACAAGTCTGCTATTCTAAAATGTGCCCTTACAGCTGAGTCCCTTATTCCTCTACACTGCTCAGCCATGGTGGTTGGACTCAGAGTCTGCAAACAACATTTAACAGCATCCCTTGTCATCCAGCTTCCACAAAGAGTCTTCCTACAGGAGGTACAGTTAGGAAATCAGAAGGTGAAACAAGGGAAAGCTATAGTTCTTGCTCTTGCTCCATACTTCTGGAATCCAGTGAAAGAGCTATATTCCTTATAAAACGCAGGGCCAGTTAAAGCAGCTCCACCTTTCTCCATCCTCACATGGCACCACCAGCAATCAATTTGTCTCTTGGTTCTGATATAAAACCTCCACCAGCTCTAGGATTGATATAACACCTTCTGTCCCACCAGCTCTAGGACTGATGGCCATTCTGCAGCTATGAGTTTCTTATTCAATCATGCTTTCCCCTTTTTTGCTCTTCTAGGCTTCAACACTTGTGAAACTGTTTCTCCATAGTAAATCATGTTTGTTTAAAATATTTTGAATGATGTCTGTTTTCCTGCCTTGAATCTGGGTTTATAAAGATGTATATATATATACATACATACTACCTTGTGGTAGTAACAAAGCCACTGGAATCCATCAAAGGATTGTGGCAGTTTTTACAAAGACAATATGACTCTAAAATTCCTCAACCAATGAATTTTAAAACACTAGACTATATTAGCACACCAGTCAGTTACTTTACATGTCCATCAGTAATATGTTTCTAACAACAGAATAGTCACTAAGAGTCCCCACATGTAATTCATTCCCTTTCAAGAAGTATTTTCACTTTTTGGCACTTATTTTGAGGAAGGAGAGATGCATGCAATAGTTTTTGCATTTTCCCCAAAGCTCCTTGAGAATGACTCCCTCAGAGCTGTGTAACTGCCTATTGTACATCTTGCTAGACTATTCCTTACACTCTCTGTTATGATTTGAGTGTTTTTGTATCCTCCAAAACTTTATGTTTAAAGTTAACCCCCAATGAAACAGTATTAGAAGATGCAGTCTTCTGGATCATGATGATTTGGTGCCATTATACAAGGGCTTGATTAAGGGAGTTTTCTCATTTTACCCTTTCACCTATTGCCTCATTAAACCACAGTGTTCTTTCCATTTAGAGGGTGGAAATGTTCAAGTCGCCATCTTGAAAGCAGAGATTGAGCCCACACCAGACAACAAAACCACTTGGTACCTTTCTGTTACTCTCCCTTCCCAGTTTTTGGAAGTATGAAAGATACATTTCTAGCCTTTGTAAATTACCTGGTCTGTGATACTTTGTGTCAGTTAAAGTAGACTAAAGATCTACCTTTATCCTCTCAGAACAGAAATCAATTCCAACACGGAGCATTTCCTATTTCTAAGAATAGAGTCAATATCTGTTTTCCTAAATTAAGATGCGCCCTACTTTTTTTAGCTTCCATTATCTGCATTGTGTCTATAGTTTTGTCTCTGCCTATGTCCCTCATGCATGTTTATGGGTTCTCTCTCTCTCTCTCTCTCTCTCTCTCTCTCTCTCTCTCTCTCTCTCTCTCTCTCTCTCTCTCTCTCTCTCTCTCTCTCTCTCTCTCTCTCACACACACACACACACACACACACCATTCTTCATTTCTACAGATGCAACTGTTGGATGATACATATCCTAAGTCATTTCCAAATTGATCCAGTCTATCCAGTTCTCTCTAGAGATTTGTGGAAAACTATAATGTTATCATTTAAAACTCTGCTCAAATTTTTTCATGTTTCCCCAATGTCTAAGGTGGTATTGTCTAATAGAACATTGTGTGATATACTATAGATGCTGTACCTTCATTAACCAATATGGTGGCTATTAGCCGTTTGTGTCTACTGAGCACTTGTAACTTGGCTAGTGTAGCTGAGGAACTAAACTTTTTATTTTAACTAATTAAATGTACTCAGGAGTAGGGGATATAGCTCAGTGGCACAGAGCCTACCTGGCAAGCACAAGGTCCTGAGTTCAGTTCCTGGCACAAAAAAACAAATGTACTCAGACATATTAGGCCAGTGACTACTCTAGTACAGCCTGGGTATGAGTTCAAAGGGATAAAACCTAAGCCACGTATTTTATCCAGTACTCTGATACCCTATCTAGCCTTATTCTATTCTCCTTTAGGTGCCCAATCTTACAGGTATATATGAAATTCATTTTTCTATGAATATGCCTGTTTTTCTTGTACTTGTTGTGAATTTATAATTGGGTTAAAGAAGAATCTCCTGGAATAAAGAGATGGGGTCTAAAGCAACTTTAAAAAAGTATTTTGTAAGCAGAACATTTTTCAAGAAAGCAGATAAAGCTGGGCATGGTGGTGCATGCCTGTAATCCCAGCACTCAGGAGGCTGAAGCAGGGGGCTCAATGAGAGTTTGAGACCACCGTGGATTACAAAGTGAGTTCATGGCCAGCCAGAACTGCATAGTGAGACCCTGTCTCAAAAAGACAAAAAAAAAAAAGAAAGCAGATAAGGTAAAATGAATGTCGAAGTCCACTATTATCTTCTGCTTTCTCCCCATGCATTGTTGTGGGGATATTGGCCAGAGGTATGTATAAAATAAAAATTCAGAGATAAGGGACTTTTGGAGCCACATGCAAAAAACCTCCTAGAATGCATGGTTCGAGATTTAAAGATGCCCTACAGGGCCACAAGTGCAAGTATGATCAAAGTACTTTGCCTTAAGGAATTAGTGCTCTGGGCCTCTCTACCCCATTCTCCAATTTATTACTTAGATTGGCTCTAAGTGCTACAAACTTTGAGGCCCTTGCTGTTGATCAGGGGAAAACAGGGATAGGACCAGAAAAATAAAGGTAAGAGACAAAAGCCTAGGTCAGATGGAGCCTTCTTTCTCCTCATGGGAGGAAAGGAAACTGCTCAACCACCATAGGGGCTTTTATTTATACCTTTGATGAAGTTAGTGTCACATGACACATCTTTTCCTAGCAACTGATTACTTGGATTGTCTTGGGGCTGGTGTTTCTCTGGACGAAGCAGTTTATCTTGCCTCAGGTGCTCTTTGTTCTCAGACTGGCCATGCCTCGCCCCACACACATGTGATCAATTTCCAGCCTCAGCTGCTCCCTACATCTAAGGTCAGTCATTTAACAGACCACCCTGACCTTCCTCTGTGCCTTACATGAATTCCTGCACAGTCCTTTTGTCCTTGATCCTTGCTTCTTGGTTCCATCAGTAAAAAGCCACAGAAGCCTCATTTTGGGACTGTCTTTATGAGACTCATGCTGAGGGGTCTCCATTAAGGGCAGTCACTCTGGCCTGCTTAGAGCTTAAATTGAATATTGTCTCTGAGTAATTTTATCCTGTTGTTCTGTACCACAGTCATGAGCTGTAACACTCTGAAGAATAGACACTTGATAGGTGTTTAATTATAAAACTTCAGCTCAGTTTAATTCTCTAACTCCTCTGAGCTTTGTTGGAAAGACTGATTATGAGATGTTATGTTGGGGAACCTTTGAAGGGAGAAT